GCAGCGGGGGCAGCGCACGGGCATTCGACGTTGCGCACACACACACACACACACACACACACACACACACACGCATATACAAGCATTATGGTTATATTTGTTTGCCTTGTTTTATTTCGATTTCAGAAAATTAAATGTGTTGGACTCCAGAGGGTGCCCTCATACATCTCGAGGTATTTTGGATAACCCTGGGGAACAGTATGACAACGAGCCTGTGATTTTTTCCGAAACTCTATGGTCTAGTTCCACTATGGGCCTAGTTGGGGCCCCTGTGCGAGGTATACATCCCTTCATACGACCGAATTATAGCCGACTCAAACCAGGGCCCAACGTTACCAAGGTTTCCTTGTAATATCTAACTATATAACCAACGGCTTCTACTGGATCGGCCTCCCACTCCGCGCTTTCCGGAAGACTTGAAGCGTGATACTGCTCCCGAGGACGCATTGCGATATCTGGCAGCAGTACGCGCGTGAGTCTTTTGCACTAGCGGAACCGGTTTTGATGAATCCTGGTTTGCTCATCGTAAGTCGTTCCTCATGAACTCTCTGCATATCAGGAATCCGCTACTTGCAGCAACTGCTACGCTTCACGTGTGCCTGGCCTTTGCCTCATTCCCACGCTGCCCCCCCGTATCACTCACGGTCTCTTTGGAATTTACCCTCGCGCTTTCGATTGCTCCGTTTGAGGCTAGCGTATCTGTGAGACCAGCCCTGGTGTTCTCAATTGGAGCGAGGGCGCTCTCTGCTCCTTGATTTCTTGCCGCCATGGAATACCCGTATGATCTTGACGAAATGCTCCATCATCAGTCGCTCAATGAAAGTGCAAGCCAGGATGCCACGGAGGTGAAACTTTTCGTCCCTCTTCCCTTCCCCATCCACCAACCCCCATACCTCCCACCCTCCGTCCCATACCCTTCCCACCTCAGCCAGTGAAATGTATAGTGTGTGTGCATGTGCTCGGAATACCCTCTGATGAGCCTTTGTTTGTGGCGACATGGCGAAAAACTTGTTTTAGGGAGAAGCCACCATCCCTAGCCTTGCCTCTGTTCATCTCAAATGATCCACCTACCCTTCAATGTGGTAAAATGGTGATCGCCTGGCGAATGAGGAACCCGCATCCCTATGCCTCCCCTTACCCCCAACCTACCTATCGGTTTTCTTCCACTCCCCTATCGGGTCTCTCCCATTCACCACTCGTTTTTTTCCCTTCATTGTGTTGTGGTCTGTCCTGTTATCCTTGTGGGCGGTTGCATGTTTGCTACGCCTGCTTCAAGATCTTGTGGGGAGGAGGGCGTTTCGCATGAGCATCGTTGCATTTTTTGGATTGGAGCGCAGCGGGAAGAGGGAGCGCCAAGTTCATCTCGGCATGCTGATTCTAAGAAATGACTATCGATTTATACAGTTATGAGCAGCCGGCGATCAATGGAGGATAGCATTTTTTAGTGTGAGGAGTGCTAACGGAGGGGGGTCTGTGCATAGCTTTCAGAGTGAAAACCCAGTACATTGTGCATTCGTGGGATTGGGCGCCTGATAGCATTCGATCACAATCGAAGGGAATTAGGTGTAAATCTGTGGAGAATATTAATTTTAAACTCTTAATTTTTCCTGTAGTATCCGTATGTATGCTCGCCTCTGATTATGGGTAATCTGTATAGATGATTGAGAGGAGGACATTTCAAACGCTGCTGTCGGGGGATGAGCTTCTTATCACTTGCTATTTGTTATTTGTTATTTATTATCTGTTATTTTTCTTTTTTATAAACCATTCGAATTCGTAGATTTGGGATCTACCTCTGTTATCCCTCTCTATGGGCGGTAATTGCTGAGATGATCGTGGGTGCTTTTGCTTCAATTTCGGGAAAATAGCGCAGGGCAGGATTTTTTTCGAAAAACTGACCGAGGGGCATCATGTTGTGTGTCGATTAATCCTGGGGAAAAGATCCTCTACCCTTCATGACTGTGGGGAGATTTACTTGCACTATGGCATAAGGGCCGAGTGAGAATCTGTTGGGATGAGGACATAGGGTTAAGGCTATAGGATAGAGGGTGCGTGAGCTGTGACGGTGCGACGTGTATCGGTGAGCTTTCGACTGGAGTAGTGCTAACGAAAAAAAAGAGGGGTGTGTACATAGCTTTCGAGGCGAGAACCGTGTACGTAGTTCATTTGTGGGATCGGGCGCCTCATGGCTTGGGATTGCGACCGAAGGGAATTCAGTGTAAATCTGTGGAGAATGTTAACGTTTAGTTTTTTTCCTTGTAGAATCTATATACATGCTCACCTCGGATTGTGGGTAATCTGTATGGATGAATTGATTGAAGGATGTTTCAAACCCTGTGGTCAGGGATCCTTTATGGCATAATGCGTTTCTTATTCGTTATTTGTTAGTTGTTATTTGTTATTTTATCTTTTGTAATAAACCGATCGAATTCGTAGATCTGAGATATACTTCTGTTATCCCTCTCTATGGACAGTAATTACTGAGATGATCGTGGTTGCTTTTGCTTCAATTTCGGGGGAGTAACGCAGGACCGGATTTTTTTATGAGAAATGGCCGAGGGGCATCACGCTAGGTGCCGGACTGGTCCTGAGAGAGTGGGATGCTCTACCTTTCATGACTGTGGGGATGTTTACTTGCACTGTGACATGGGGGCCGAGTGAGGATCTGTTGGGATTGAGCCACGGGGTAGAAGCTTTAGGATGGATGGTTCGTGAGCCGGGTGCGGTGCGATGTGTAGTAGTGGGCTTCGACCGGAGACGCCGTTCCTGCTCACATCCGGAGAATAATTGATGACATCTTGTCGTCCAGTGAGGTCAACACATAGAGATTCGATATCAAGTAGTCGCGGGTCTTGTCCGGAGCGGTTCGGCGGTTTGGAGTTTCGGATACAATTGGGTTGTCTTTGACAGTAATTTTGGAAACAATCCCTACGGCTTGTTGTGTTGGGTCGAGTGGAACGGTGTAGGGATTGGTGTTCTTGTTCGTTTCTGGCGTTATGGTTATACGTGCTAGAAACCCAGTTCATTCCGTTTTATTTCTCATTTTAGTATTTTGTAATACTTCAGGTGGCTCGCCAGAGTTGGAAAATTTGGTCGTTCCCATCTTGCAGCATAGAGTGAGTTGAGGATCATAATGGGTAGTGATCGTTTTTCAATTTTCGATGAGTGACGAGCATCTTAGTGGTAATAATCTCGGTGTTAATATGCCACTTCAGCGTTGGTTGTACTTGCATGATCCCATCTCCCAATCATGACGTGATCCTATACCTGTGTATTCATTCATCCCCCCTCCCCCTTCTCCCCGTCCCCTCCCCCTTCCCCAACCCCTCGGTAATGACAAATCTCATATCTGCATTTTCCTCACCAAATGGGGCCCCCAAGGTATCTTTGGATAAGCATGCGATGTATGGATTTCGGGAATTTATGCACGGCTGTACAATATTGAATGGATCTTGTCGGGGTGCCGAATGTTTATTTTGGTCGCCATGTACCTGCCCTGGTCAGTTCAATTTGGTGGTATGGAGTGCATTCATTGTGCACTGGAAATAAACGTACATGTGTTTTTACGGCACATCTAACAAACACACACACACACACGTATAGTTGTTCTCTCTCTCTCTCTCTCTCT